GTTTTTGCTGACTCCCCCTTCCCTTTTGTTTTCAGCAGTTCTGTGAGTGGTAATGTGAGCTGGGCGAAATCTTTTATGAATGAGCGGTAGAAGTTTGCGAACCCTAAAAATGACTGTAGTTATTTGCGTGTGGTTGGGGGCTCCCACGCTCTCACATCTTCCACCTTCGTGGGGTCCATAGCAATACCTTTGTGGGATATTCTGTATCCTAGGAAGTCAATTTGCTTCTTATTAAACTCACATTTGGCTAGTTTGGCGAACAATTTTGCCTCCCTTAGCCTTTGGAGTACCTCCCTTATCAATTGAATATGCTGATCTTCACTTTTACTAAAAATTATTACATCATCGATATAACAAAAAACCCCACGATACAATAACGGGTGTAACACTTCGTTGATCATCTGCATGAATGCTCCTCCCCCCCCTTTTAGGCTGTAAGGTAAAACACAAAATTGGTACAATCCGAGCGCACTTGAGAATGCAGTTTTCCACCTATCCTCCGGTTTCACTCTTATTTTGTGGTACGCCTCAATCAAGTCCAGCTTCGTAAACACCCTCCCCTCCGCCAGTCTAGATAACAAGTCCTTGGTTAGAGGTAAAGGGTAACAGGTGCTTGTGCTCACGGCGTTTAGCCCCCGATAGTCCACGCACAATCGAAGTGAACCGTCCTTTTTCCGTCTAAATAACACGGGGGCCCCAAGGGGGGAATCAGAAGGCTCAATGAACCCCCGCGCGAGGTTTTTGTCTATGTACTGTTTCAATTCATCCATCTCCCTAGCCGACATTGGGTAAATCTTAGCTTTAGGGAGTGTAACATCCTTGTTCAATTCAATTTTCACTTCAACTCTCCTTTTGGGAGGTAATTTGTCAGCTTCCTTCTCATCAAAAACATCAGCAAAGTCCCGGTATTGGGGGGGAATGGCCTGCACCCAATCCTTTGGCTTACTTTCCTCGCCTCTACCTCCTATCCTCGTTGTCGTTTTTGGGAATCTCAAGCTTCTCTTCTCCCAATCTACACAAGGATTTGCTCCTTGCAGCCATGGCATCCCCAGGATTATATTGTATGTTGCTAATTGAGAGATAACAAATGTTACCTCACCCTCCCAGCCGCCCACTTTGCATTTCACTCCCTTAGCTTCAAAGGTCGCCGGGGCTCCTGATGCCATTGACCCGTCTAATTGAGTGAAAGCTATGGGGGTCTGCAAAGTCATTTTCTCGCATTCCAGTTCCTCTGCTAATTCTGGAGTCATTATATTCCTGGAGCATCCGCAATCAACAAAAGCTTTGCAACTAGCCCATTTACCCCTCCCTTCTAGCCTGATAGGGAAGACTAACATTCCAGGGCTGTGACTCACCAGGGATCCCATTGGGGCCTCCAAGGGGAAACATTCCTCCGCTTTCCTTCCAGCAGCGGCTTTTGTTTTGGGCCGTGGGGGATCCCCCCCTTCCTCTGCCAACAGCCAGCGGCTTTATGGCCTAAATGGCCGCATATAAAACACCCGATCTGCCGGCTTCTCTCTCCGCTCGCAGGCTCTTTCTTGGGCGGCTCCCCTCCAGGCTTCCGGCTCTCCACCTTCTGCGGTCCCGTCTGCGCCGCGGCTCCTCGATGCCTCCTGATTTGGGCCAACGTCGTCTCAACCTGCCCGGCCAGCTGGATCCATCCTTGGATCGTTCCCGGGTCGTCGCGGTGGAGTGCCCAGGCCAGCAACTCCTTCCTCAAGCCCTCTTTAAATATTTCTATTTTGGTTTGGGCTGACCACTCTGGAACCCTTTCTGCCAGCAACTGGAACTCCTCAGCAAACTCCGACACACTTTTCTGGCCTTGAGTGATGGTTTTCAACCTATCTCTCGCCTTGATGCGCTCGAGGGGGTCCCGGAAGCGCGCTTCCAAAGCAGCTAAAAACGCCCTCGCTGACCCCAGGCATGGGTCGCGTCGGGCATGGAGCTGGACGTACCAACTTGCTGCGCCTCCCCTCAATGCTGCTCCTACGGCTCTCACTCGGCTGGCCTCCGATCTGAAAGCATGCATGTTATCTTCCAGATACCCTCGTACCAGCGTCAGGAAGAAATCAAGGTCTTCGGATTTCCCTCCAAATTCTGCACGTAACTCCTCTCTCCTCTGTTGCAGGGGTTGGGGCAGCATCCTCTGGGCACCTGCGTGTGCCATTCCTCCCGGTTGGGCGGGTTGCCCTAACAGCGCTCCGGGTTGCCCCGTGCCACGTCCTGCACCGGCTGGGACTGCTACAGGAAGGGACTGCGGGGTTGTAGCAGCTCCCCGTGGCATTCCTTCTCCTCCGTCCCTTGGAGGTTCCTGTGTCCTACGTCTCGCCCCCAGGATCTGGCCGCTCCCCGCGCTCGCCTCCCATGGCGACTCCGCTCGGGGCTGGGATTCCTCCAGCAGGGGGGCCAGGCGATCCATCAGCCTTGACATCATGGCTAATGTAGTTTCCATGGCAGCCACTCTCTCCTCCAAGCAGCCATACCTTTGGGGGGAGGTGAAGTCTATCTCGCTGCTGCCCCTTCCTGCGCCCTCTCTCGTTCGCCTTTGGGTGACCCCGTTAGGGTTAGCATACGCTGTCGAGGAGGCGAGAGCAGCCACTCTTTCGAGCTCGGCCTCGGCTTCTCCAAGAGGCGATGTAAGTTTTCCTCCTATCGCTCCGAGGACGGTGTCTTCTTCCTCCTCCAAGGGGGATTCGCTCCTCTCTTCCATCATCGCACCTCACTACTGCTTCAGGATGGTGCAGGAATCCCGGCTTAATGTCAGCTCACAACAGCTAGGCTCAATGATGACATGAGACTTCCATCGTAGTCAAACAAAGATCTTTACTGTCAGATACTAAGACACAGAAAAGCAGGGATTGTCTGGTCGCAGCAGACACTCCCTTATATACACTCCCACCAATTCAAAATGTGAGCTCCCGCCAAACCCAATACCCCGCGCAAAGCTTCCCGCCACCAAGCAACTGCTTTCTTCCAAGGTCACCAGCTGCAGATTCCTTATCAAGTCGAACGTCAGGATTCTAGTTTTCGGTGCCAAAATCTGGGCTCCGGAAACTGGATCCTGACAATTATCCACACAAATTCTCTCCAAAATATATAGATTGCTTTATTGATTTATACTTTAATTTAAGGGATGAGAATTGTATGGTGTTCAAAATGATGTTGGCATCCAAGAGAGCATAGCCAATAGTGATCAATCCTTCAATGTCTGGAGGACTAAATTATTACTGTGCCTGCCTTACAGTTTCCCATAAAGCATGATATAGTAGACTCTCAGTTAACCAGAACTCAAACAACCAGACCTCTCAAGCAACAAGCAAAAAATTGAAGAAATATTTTAAATTTAAAAAGCTGTTTTATAATACAGTAAAACTGTATCACATTAAGTTAGGTGTGTATTTGTCTTTTTTACTTTGAATTACTTTACTTCAATATTAAAAGTCAAGTCAGTAGTGTTGGGTAGAGTATTAAGTCTATTTTAATAGTATCTCTCAAGCAAGTTTAAACTACATTTATCCAGCCTCTATTAATCCCCATGGGTACCAGAAACTGAGAATCTACTGTAGCTATTTATTTTGCTATGCTGAACCTTTTAAAATTGTGTGAGACCTACTTCACTGATGTGATTTGGATATTTCAATGAAGCACTAATAACAAGAGTGCTAACTAACTATGTGTTTAACAGTAAAATATAACACACCTTGAAAATGTAAAGCTGTTGCTGATGTTTCATGCATCATTTACACCATCAGGATCCAGTTCTCTAAGGTTTTTGTTTTATTGTATCTGTTTCTGATGTATTTAATTTGACAATGTAAATGTATTAATAATAAAATGCTATTTTATTAGTGGTTTCCTTAGAATAATAATAGCATCAGTGGCAGCTATGTGAAGTTTAAGTTTAATGTGAATTTTAATTTTCACATTTTTAAAAAATAACAATTATTTGTCAACTACAATATATTCTGATAGACATTAGCATATAGGTTAAATAACTAATAAGCAGTTTCCTATTGGATACATCTTGGGATATTACAACCCTACTTGGAAGCTACTCTCTTACTTGGAAGCATCTCAGATCTTTAGCACTTCTCCCCAAATTGGCTACCCACATTTGGGAATTGTCTCTCCTGATCTTTGCAAATACACCATGATGCTTACTACTAACTAAATGTAACTTAACCCAACAAATCATTAACCTTTTGTTTACTAGAAAGGGATGACTATACAGCTCACTTGTGTTGCCCAGATAATGGGAGAACTCATAATCACACCTACAGTTACCAAGTAACTCTAGTGATGTAAGGAATACTATCAGTGATGCCAATGATCTTATTGTGTTCTAGAAAGATGTAAAGACATCAGTGGTTTGAATTAGATTTGGATTTAATTGGGAAGCAAACTTGAACAATCTTCCAAAACATGGGAAATGGCTCCATTTGTTTCTGAGTCAGTCTAAATTCAGAATTTGCAGTCAAATATTAGTTCAGATCCCTAGTTTGCAAATATGGTTAAGATGGTTTGATGAAACTTTGGTGGCAAATAGGCAGAACTCAAATTAGGAGCAAGAGAAAATAAGTTTTCTTCCAAACGTGTTCAGCCTTTTCATGTGTATATGTATGCATCTTCAGGCTGCTTGTCGACTTATGCCAACCCCATGAATTTCATAGGGTTTTCTTCATAAAGTCCTATGAAATTTAGCATAGATTTCAACCTCAGCAGAATAATTTTTAGTCCTACAAATACTTAAGTCTCTTATTTGAGACGTGTTTTCTGGGAGCTCAAAATTCACATCCAGGTGTAAACCTGAACAGTATACATCCTACAGTCAAGTGTCACTAATGTGGAAAAGATCTGTACCATGGACTCCCAATCATGTGCATCCTTTAGGTGTATCTTACCAGAATATATTATTGAGACAAGTATGTTAATTATGTCACTTATTCATGTCTTAACCTTTATTTATTTTCTTTCATTTCTTTTGTCTTTCTTTTTTAAAGTCTTATAGGATGGTGGGGTCATGAATTGCAAAGCAGATTTCTCATGGACAACAGTATGTATATTTCTCCACTTGATTTTATGCAATATTTACCACACAGTGTATATTTACAGTTCTATACAGAGGGCCATTGATATCTGCTGGGGTTTGGTTACAGGTCTTCCCATGCATACCAATATCCGTAGTTGCTGAAGTCCCAATATATACAGTGACATAGTAAAATGGTGTCCGTTATATAAAATGGCAAAAACAAGGTTGATTTTTATTTTTAAGGCATGAATAGTGATGGGGAGGCACAGTAATTTGCACCAGCACAATTATTAGATCTTCTCTTTTAACATGGAAAGTTATTTCTATCCTAGCTCGGGGAAAAACCAAATTCCTAATTCTTCCTTGTTTAGGGAGCTTACATCTTCACCCTTTTTGAATGTTTTATGGTTTCTAGTTTTATAATGGCAGAAACATTAACTAAATCATAAGGTATCTTTAGGGTATTGATCAAGATATCTATGTATTCCACCTATTAAAACCCCATTGACATTTTTATCTTGTGGTATACAGTAGTAGATAGGTGAGCAGGACACTTCTAGATATTTTCAAGTAGCTAGACACCCTGCAATAGGGATCTTATAGAAATTTGCAGGAGTCCTGTATTGTGTGTGTGTGTGGCAGCGGCGGGGGTTGTGCCCTGCTTACAAAGTGAGTTTGGGGACATTTTAGAAACAGAGTTCCATCTGATTTATATTATCATAATTCACTAACAGACTTCTTGCCAGTGTCTTGCTTCGCTATTCTTATGAGTTACTCTGAGAGGAGGGTGCTTAACAAGCTGTAAAAATAAAGCCTTATCCCTCTTTTTACGTGTCACTATGACGAAAGGATCGAATGCCAAGAACAAGCATGCTGTGTGTGTGGATATGTGGGGGTAGGCATGCACACACCTATACTATTACGCATTAATTTCCTGAGTATCCAATCTGATTTGCAGGAAATCCTTAACATCTGTGATATGAAACTGGATTTCTAAGGATTTTTTATCCACCATTGCCTGGTTTGGATAGATAAATGATGCTTAAACTACAAATGAATTTAATTGATATTGGAGACAGGAACAGAGCTATAAGCATCAATCATGCCCAATTACTTCCATCTCATTGGAGTGATCTATCTGCTTTGGGTTTTGGTATGAACTTTAAAGAGCCTAATGGGTTCAGCAGTTTGGGTGGTGCTTTTAAAGTTCAGACTACAACCCAGAATGGATGTACTGTATTGTTGAGAGAGGACCCACCAGCTGCCAGTGGTGAAAAAAAAGCAAGTAACCCATTCTGGTCTCTTAAATAATGGTTTATTGAAATGATTATGTCTGAACTGGTGCAATAATTAGAATCATGGAGTTGGAGGAGACCACAAGGGTTATCCAGTCCAATCCCCTGACATATATTGTTAGCCATCTTTTCCAAAAGCCTGTCTTTCTTATACTAATACTTTTTAAAATCTCATCACAGATTTTATTTTTTAAAATCCCTTGCATAATGAATTTGATAGAAGGTGTTTCTTTTACAGAATTACAACTAAGTCCAGGAATCAATGGATTTCGGTTATCAAATCCTCCCATTTTATTGGTGTGTTCTCTTCATGCCAGTTTAGAGGTGAGTAATCACTTTTCCATGAAAAATTAAGTACCAAGAAATGAAGCAACTCCCTTGTCATTAACCAATATTATCTTCTCTACCATGGTGAACTGAAAACTCTCATCTGGAGACAAATAGAATATTAAAACAATGCTCACAGAGCTTTGAAAAGATTGCCAGCATTAGCATCTATTTCTACCATTCTAGTTTCCATCAGGCAAGCATGGGAGTGAAAAAAGGCAAGAATAATGGTTTAGGGCATCAAACACTCAAGTGCCATCCATGCTTCTTTTACTTGCTTGTCTGCAATGCCTTCCCTTTTTCCTCAAGGAAAGAAAATCCCCCACAGCTGGTACCTGAGATAAAAGGAAGTTGCATTTCTACTGCTGAGCTTCTGTCTGAAGGAAAAGATGGCAGCAATCGCTGCTTAATGGCATGTTAGAGACAGATATTAATATTAAATAAAATTCAACAGTGTGTTCCAGCAGCATGATATCTCTTTTAGTATTGTATGTGCCTTCAGCCTAGTATTGCTTGGTATACTAAAATTGCTCTTGTATAATCTGCATATGGCTTTGTTCTTATTTTACAAATTATAAAGCAGGTACACAGGACTTGATTCATGGATTCGCCATTTTCATGGCAAATCCGTGGGGTCCCAACAAGGGGTGTGAAGAACCTGTTGCCCCATGCCCCGCATTGCCAGAATTACCACTGTCCCCATCCCGTGTTACCACCACGGTGATGTATTGTTTTCCCTTTTTGCCACAGAGCCCCACCGGAAATAGATGTACACCGTGTAATGGGCTCTGTGGCAAAAAGGGAGAGCAATCAGTGTATGATGAATAATTCACCTGTATGATGAGGTCCTAAGTCCAACATTGAAAAATGCAGACAAATTGTGATTGGAGATTCTGTGATGAGAGAGGCGTACTTCGAGATGAGGGAAAGAGATTTGTATTATAGACCCTACTCTTTCAATGATTTCCTCCTATCTATCTCTATCTATCTATCTATCTATCTATCTATCTATCTATCTATCTATCTATCTATCTATCTATCTATCCTTCTTCCAGTAGAATATATATATATATATATATATATATATATATATATACACACACACACACACACACACACACCTCCTTAATGCTCTGATTCACTTTTAAGTATTGATTTCAATCGGCCATGTCATGACCCTCTGTTTTTACCATACATAATAGATTGCATTTGTGACCATACTTGCTCCATTCTTAATGGCAGGCCATTGGTCATATTTTTCGTATAGGTGTAACGGCTGCAAAAAATTGCCTCTCAGGCTCATAAAATTCCAAGGTCGTTCCATGGCATTTAAAATTAGCTTTCTATTTTGACTGCTAGTTGATTATCAAGTCAGCAGGGTCATGTAGTGAAAAGCCAGACACTGTGATCACAGCTCTTTCCTCCCTGATTTACATCTGACAGTGCATCCATAAAGTCAAATCAGATGTTTTGACTTTCTTTCCTAGTTTGGTTTCTTAATTTATCAGTTCATGCATGAGAGAACAGAATGAAGGTGGGAGGAAACTTTAAATGTGTTATAAAGGTGTCACTAGTGGGTCTTTAGAATTGTAACAGAGAATGTCTGAAGCAAACTACACCAATCAGAAGGACACAAAGTTTGAAACTCAAACAAAATTCCCATATTTCAGTAAAATATTGGGGGAAGTTGGAGTGAAGAACAATACTTTGTGTGACAAAGAAAATTGTTCATGGGTCAGTTTCTGTCTCATATGTGAGATTCTTAGGGAAATTAGCCATTTTTGAGCAAGGTGGTGCATTGTGTACTGGCTTCTCAACTCCAGGTAGCATTGCATGATATTGGTTATCTCAATACATTCCAAAGGAAAAATAAAAAGATAAACAAACACAAATGTAATTGGTCAAGATGGTCAATGGGTATCCATGCTAATAGCATCCTACTCGAAGTTGTGTTGAATTCAAAACTTCCCCAGTCTTTGGGTGGGTGTTGTAAATAATTCATATTAGCCTAATTGTTGAAAGACTTGGAGGATCTTGATTCTGGAATTATCTTAGTTTTTTTTTCACTAGCTGTCAGGTTCCAAATCACATGGAATGATTTGCTCCTATGGACAGCTGTTATTAATGACCTTATCTGGGGAATGTGGACCTTCTTTTGGTTATTCTTGCTCTGCCGACACCCAGGCTGGAGTAGTGTGGCAAGTTTTTCCACCTTTCAGGATGGCCCAGAAGCTTCACATCCCACCTGCCTGGATATTTGGAGGGTAATGGCCTAGACTGGTGGGTCACCAACCCCACTAGCTGCCTGTACCTTCTGAGTCACCAATTGCAGTTTGAGAAAGGTGACTCAGATTACCTGCTTCTGTAGGGCACTGCATGTGGGGCTGCTTTTGGAAACTTCAGGAACTTCAGCAAATCTAAAATGGTGCAGCTAGATAGCTGACTGGGCCTGGTTATAGGGATCATATAACCCTCATGTTGCAACAGCTTCACTGGCTACCTTTCTAGACAGAATTCAAAGTTTGGTTTATGATTTTAAAATCCCTATACATCTTATGTTCAGACCTTTAAAAAACCTGTCTCTTTATATGAGCTCAGCTGAGTTTTAATATCTTTGGGAGAGATTTCTCTTGGTCCCATCAAGTACATCTCATGAGGTCTCTGTTAAAGATCTTCTTGTTGGTTGCTTCCAGGATTTAATATAATATGATATAACAACAATAATTTTATTTTTACCCACATCTCCTTGCAGCTCGAGGGAGAAACTCTTTCCCAAAAGAGGCTTGATTGACCTTTTTATGCTCTCTTTTCAGAAACAAGCAAAAGATAACCAGGACTTCTGTTTTTAATTGGTTGGGATAGGACAATGTGCTCCTTGTTATGTAATGGGTTTTAGATGTTTTTAACTGTTCTAAATTAGTGTATTTAAGTGAATATTGTTTCTTGTTGTTGTTTATTTTTTATATTACAGATTGTTTTAACCCCTATAGGTCTTATATGTGGAAAAATTGGGATATAAAATATAACTGAATATAAACTCTATAAATAAATAGTGTCTGTATTCACTTTGTGTTTTATTTACAGGTCTTTCTTGTTAGTTTTTCACTGTAGTTGGTTAGGCTGGTGAACACAAGTCAAAATGCCTTTTTAATAACAGCTGCACAGGAATCTTTTGAAGATTCATTTAACTTCGAAGTTCACCTGTTCTTTCTGTCCTTTTCGTAGCTCTTAAGCTACTGGTTTATTAATAACTTTGTTATTGATTTTTTTTAAAAAAATCAATGTCATCTTTTTACCAGGAAGCTTTAAAATAAAATTTACTAAATAAACAAGTATTAGAGGAAAAAAAGCTTTTGTTAGAGAGAAAAATAATTTTCAAGCACAGAATGTCCAAAGCACTTTACTGAAATTTGCAGTTGGCTCACTTTTGGAAAATGATTAGCAATCTTTGGGGCAGCATAATAAAATGATGTTGACTCATATTGCCACTTACATGCTGATTTCTGTCAGGAACTAATTTAGTACATACATCCTGCAGTGGAAAAAATGATAGTATAACTTTGCATATCCTGCAATCGACAAAGTTTTTATAACATACTCCCATTAATCCCTTCCTTTAGAAGTCTTAGTTAGGGACTTTCTAAAACCATCTGGAAACAGGAAATAATTTTCTCAATGACAGCATCATTCGCTTGAAAATTTGTCAGGGAATTACCAGTCATTTTAGTTTGCCTCTCCCATCCCCATTAAATGCTACAGCAATACCTTTCTTCTATTTGACAATCTATTTTGTTTGCATGTAAAACATCTCTAATATTTTGCAAACTTTATGTGACCTTAGAGACACTAGTTTGTTCTGACCCAGATGGTGCTTTTCAAATGTGGGAGGAGGGCCTGCCATTTATCCCTCGGTAGGGGGTCAATGGCAATGAGAGCTCATCAGCTTCCATGGGCTTGCTGTTTTGCTCCTGCATTACTCTTTTGGCACGGAAGGATTCCCTTGTGCTAATTACAGTGGTACAGGAAAATAGAATTGGTCTCTGGCAAGAGATGGCTTAGAAAATGTTCTGCCATCTTGCACAGGGAGGTATTAAACAGGGGGTATAGCTTCTAAAGGAAATGTGTTGCAATGTGTCAATGCATGGCAAGGGCAATTGCTTGCCTTTTACAGGGTAAGGACATTAGGTGTGGGAACGTTATTCCAGGTTGCATGTATTTCTTTTGCCAGGGTCTAAATGGACTTATCAGAAGTTACTTTAAACATCTAACAATTTCCATTTTTGACTAAAGTAACAGTTTATTGGTAGCTTGGACACATGCAATATTTTTATGCTCTTGCTTACAAATCCTAACATAATATAGAATAGTGGAATCAGAGCTCAGAGAGAGAAAGTCCAAGAATTTTTTGATGAGCAGAGACATATATAACAATTTGAACAGTAAGCACCTTCGATTCCCTGTTCCCTTACATTTTTGATGCAATCAGTATAATTGGAGGAGAAATCAATTTTTTTCTAGCAACAGTGGATTGTAATGAGATATCAACACATCACTGAACTGAAATACAAGTAAACTTGTGAAGTTCTTGTTTTCAGAGTCACAAAGTAAAGTTGTCCAGAAATTTAAACAACAGAATGGGGAGGACTACACAGTCCTCGCTTCCTTTTTCATTTTGTATGAAGAGTCTGGTATTTCTTGGAATCACAGAACACTTTTATCTGTTGGATTACTGGCAACATTTTCAGTACTGATATAGTAGCATTAGTGGCCAAATCAAACCTTTAATGTTTGTCAGATTTAGTCAAAAGTCAATGATATGATATTATTTTGATGTAATGATTTGAATTTTGGACTAGAACATTGGAAAGCTATGGTTCAAATTGTTCTCACCCTTGAAAACCCACTCGAAATCATGTTCTCCCAGCCTCAAAGGAAAGCAATGACAAAACCTTTCTGGATAAATCTTGCCAAGGAAACCCCAACATAAAGTCATTTTAGGATTAACAAAAGAGGAAAATGACTCACAGGTAAACAACAACAACAACAAGGAAATACTGCTCCATTGTTACTTTATTTTGATTTTTTTTTTGCATTTTCTGATTTCCTGTTTTATTTTTTATTTAGGTCTTCAATCAAACCACAATGACACTTCTGAGAAGGAAATCTGTTCTTCTTACTGGTTATTTGGAATATTTGATAAAACAGCACTACAGTGAAGACAAAAATAACCCGGGAAAACCATTTGTAAAAATAATCACACCTTCAAACATTGGCGAAAGAGGATGCCAGCTCACACTGACTTTCTCCATTCCAATTAAACCTTTGTTTAAGGAACTGGAAAAAAGAGGAGTTGCTGTAAGTAATCAAGTCTTCATACTGTTAATTTCTACATGCTTCATTTTATGTGGATGCTTTTGTATTGTGCTGATTAATGAGGAGGAAGGTCAGGCACTGATACAATACCTTACAGTCAGCAAACTATTTTTTTCTATAATGGTGCTGCAACATTGTTCTGAGGAAGGAACCAACAAATCAGACAAACCATGCAGATCCAGAATAAGTCTCTAGAGCCATTTATGGACCCACCACCAAGACTTTACTTCTGGGAGAAAATCATACTCACTATGAGGCATCACCTATAATTTGATGATTTCCCCATGCAAGGATACCATCAAGGCAAAGTGGTTCACCCTCATCACACTAAATCGGGTGGGGGGGGGAGGTAAAGGCTAACCATGTCAAAAGCACTACAAGTCATGGGGTTTGAATAAGTAAAAAGTTGTGGATTGCTTGAAAGATCAGGGATTAAAATTACAGGAAAGCAAAGTCATTGCCACTAAGCTGAGTGACCAGAAAGTGTCACAAAGGCTTCTTGTACTCCCTGAATAACATGGGAAGTAAACCAGTCTCCTCTCGGCCTCATTTCCAAACTCACAACTGTAGCTCAATCAGTAGCAGGTCATGCTGTCATGCTGCCCAGCACAACATGCTAAGCTCACAGATCAAGACATGGAACATGTTGAAGCTAAATCTATATCTGTAAGGAAGTATCATCAACCATTCAAAGGACTAATATTATTCTTGTATGCCGAAGACCTCCAATGGCCTAACAGCTTAACGCTTGCATTCTCGAGGCAATGATGGTCTAGGAGAGTGGTTCTCAACCTGTGAGTGACTAGATGTTTTGGCCTTCCAGAAATCCCAACTGCTGGTGAACTGGCTGGGATTTCTGGGAGTTGTAGGCCAAAACATCTGGGGACCGATAGGTTGAGAATCACTGGTCTAGAAGTAATGACTCAGTTATACCCAACCCAGCTTTTAAGATGACAGCCCAAAACTGATACCTAGTGGTGACCCACAACCTGGTGGTGGCATGGTGAACCACAATCATTCAGCCCTATTTTCCTCCCCACTGGATTCCACAAATTTGACATGGCATTGTGCTAACTTCAGGTTTATATGAAATGTGGAAGAGAGTTCTATGAACTTCAACCTTTTCTAGAAGCCAAATTATTACACTGAGGCTGATGTACTTTAGATAGATAATATGATTTAAAAAAAAATAAAAATAAAGGCTTTGTCAAATATGAGATAGAAAGAAAACAGGGAGGCCACATTACAGATTCAATAAAAGAAACCATGACCCTAAATTTGCAAGACTAGAGCAGAGTGGCTGTGGTTCAGGGCAACATTTATAAGTGAGATCTTGTATTCCTATGTCCACCATAAATTGAAGTACCTTGGTGACATGGGGTGCTAAGATGAGAGAAAGTTAGGGTATAAATCGAATTTAAAACAACCACCCATGGAGGTCACTATTTTTTTTTAAATTAAAAAACAACATATTCTTGTTTCTTCTCTCCGACAAACTTCTTTGATCTGTCTCTTGATTGTAGGTTTCTTATGAAGCTCATAGGAAATAGCAGTAGGAAATGTAGAGAGAAGGTGGAATTAGTGACAGTCATTTCTACTGACTCTTTTTCCCTTCTGCAGAAGTGCAAATCTGGTCTCATTCAGTACTTTATAGTGCACATTATATGCATTACATTACCCTTACAGTGTTAACATTTGTGTGTTAATTTCACGTAACTCGAATTTTAATCAAACTTCTGTGAGTTAGGGGAGGGTTGAAAGTTTCTCTAGAACTAAAAAATTGCATATAAGAACAGACTAAGAATCTGGAAGCCACCAATTGGCAGGGGAGAAAGGCAAACAGTTAGTTGGGAATCTAGAGGCCAGAGAGTTAAATTAAGGCCACAGAATAGGCAACTGATTAATCAATATAAGCCTAGAACAGACAGGAGATTCAAGTCATAGAAGATGGTGGAGACTAGGGCCAGAGTGGTTGGATAAATACACAGCACAAAGATGAGGAATACTATGCTAAAATCTGGAAATGGAATCAAAAGTGCTAGGAATCTTTTACAAAGTAGTTTTTTTAAAAAAAAATCAAAGAAAGAAGAAGGGAAGGATAGGTATCACAGTCTGGTCATGGACCAATCTAAACATTGGAAGATTCCTGCAAGAGAATACAAATTGCAGTGGACATAGAAACAAGACGTTTATTTGATTGTCAAAAAAAATGCATCATAACTGCTGTTGGGAGCCCTCCAAACAATGGGAGCTTGATCATAATTCTGTCTATGGTCTTATAGTCCACAAAAATAATTTCTAATTGGTAATATGAATATACTTCTTTCATGGATGCAATGCAAAGTCTATAAAGTCTTACTTGGTAGAAGGATTAAAGCAAAAAGCTAAAGGAAACTGCTCCGACCTGACCTACTTTATAACTTTTTTTCCACCCACCTCTCTCTTTTTTCCCCTTACACAAATTATCAGAGTCCCAAAACACCAAAATATGTGAAGGCTGAGCCTTCTGGGACCACCACCACACTGTTCACTTCCCCCTCATAGGTACAAAGTCAGTGGCAGAAAAATCAAAGCTATAACTGCCACTTTCATTACATTCCTTTCAATTTCAGAACTAATTCAAGAAAACTGAAGTTAATCATGCCTCATTGTATAGTGAAACATGGCCGACATGGCAATCGGCTTTGATTTACAGGTGAAGTAGGACTACGTTTTTCAGAGAAATGAAGTGTCTCATCTGTTAATTCCTGCATTGATACCTGCAACCCTTTTCCTTGTGCAGCCACCACCATTGTGAAATCAAAGGGCCATAAGCAAAAAGGCCAATTCAGAAACAAAGAGGAAATTGGTACAAGCTATATCCCAAACACTTGAGTAGAAAGGGTAAAAAATAAAGAAGTACAAGTGGTTTTGCAGTGGTGATTTCTTCTTTGCTTTTAACACATTAAGAGAAAGTGGGATATAAATCTAACATATGCACACACAGACACACATGCACACACTAAACACAAGTCATGCTACCCATGCTCTATTCTGCCTTGGTCAGACCACACCTGGAATACTGTGTCCAATTCTGGGCACCACAATTAAAGGGAGATGTTGACAAGCTGGAATGTGTCCAGAGGAAGGTGACTAAAATGATCAAGGGTCTGGGAACAAGCCCTAAGAGGAGTGGCTTAAAGAGCTGGGCATGTTTAGCCTGAAGAAGAGAAGACTGACAGGAAACAATGATAGCCATGTATAAATATGTGAGAGGAAGTCATAGGGAGGAGGGCGCAAGCTTGTTTTCTGCTGCCCTGGAGACTAGGATGCGGAACGATGGCTTCAAACTTCAAGAAAGGAGATCCCATCTGAATATCAGGAAGAACTTCCTGATTGTGAGAGCTGTTCAGCAGTGGAACCCTCTGCCCCAGAGTGTGGTGGAGGCTCCTTCTTTGGAGGCTTTTAAACAGAGGAAGGATGGCTATCTGTTGGGGATGCTTTGAATGCAATTTTCTTGCTTCTTGGCAGGGGGTTGGACTGAGGCCCATGAGGTCTCTTCCAACTCTATGATTCTATGATTTTTTCATAGAAAATTGTTTGTGTAACGAGAAATGTGCCCCATGAATTTCAAGACAAGCAGTATTCAAAGGAATGAAGTTCTGTTTCCTTCATTCACTTTCTGATTTTCAGTGGAAGGACAGATTTTTGCCTTTCTTTACTGCTGACATACAGACCTTTACAGCTGTTTCTATGAGCTGCGAGAATTACATCGTGACTCATACAAATATATTAATTGTTTACTAGAGAAAGGTTGGAATGTCAGCATGTACATATATGTGTCTCACTTCGGATATGCTCTTTTCAGCGTTAGCAAAATCATCCCATAGCAACCTCCATTCTTCACTTTTTTTTCTCCCCTCCCCAAGTTTTTTCACACTGAAATGTGATAGAGCCTCAAATTTGCATTGAAAACATCAGATTTGTATTCTCTGTTCAACACTTTTCAATTTCCCCTATTTCTGCAGTCCTTTGCACATCAGGTTAACAGCTCAATCCTAGTTGTAGTTAATTTGGAGTGAACACAGTGGGATTCATTACTGAGGAAAAAGGAATAGTGTTTCACTCTCAGTATCTTATATGAAAAAGCTAGAATAGTAGTTATTCTTCTGTTTCTTGTTTTTCTTCATCCAGTTTGCACAGGCCAGAAATTAGGGGAAGGATGGCATTTGGCTCCATTATAACAGGAATATCGTATTTATGTGAGCATCGTTGTGCTTCACTTTGAGAAATGAATGTGAATGTGAAGCTGTATCAATTTATTGAATGTTTATTTGCTGTTTTGCAGTGTGACATGCGGGAACCCAACGCTCTCCGTGTTGCTCCAGTTCCTCTCTACAATTCTTTCTGTGACGTGCACACATTTATTGAAATCCTGGGATCTGCAATGCAATTACATCTGTAAAGGAAAGAGCAAACACTACAGCATTTTCCTGATCTTATTGATGGTGCAGCTGTATCTTTTAATCTATTTCTGACTAAGATGCATCAATGCTTTTGAGCATTTTGTTTGTTTCTATTAGACTAGGCTATATATATTCCACCAATTTACCCCATAAGATTGATTTTGCTTGGATAGTTATTTACAATATCCCTTTTATTAAAACTCATATTTCCATTCATTGGTACTCCAGAAATTAATATGCCTTACTTATTTTAATAGGGATGATTTTTAGCATTTTGCATACTTCCTTCATCTACATAATTCTGTTTTACTTCATATTGCAAGTGAAACAGAAAGACAGCTGCAAACCTCAAAATATCTTTCTGTTCTCGTGTGGAATAACACACCATACAAAACCCATCTATTTTACATTTTAATCACCATTTATATTAAATGAAAATGTCATGTATATTCAGGTAAATTCAGAGTTTGACATTCATTGTTACAAAAGCAGGGATTTAGAATTTGTAAATGACTTCTTCTGTTCAAGGCATCTTTACATATATATTTTAAAAAGACTTCTCCATTTTTCATGCACTTATCGCCAAATTGGTCCTCTGGCCATTTATGCAGCATTGTTGATGGTAATAGCTAAAATAATGGGAGCACTTGTATTTCACCATTTCCTATGAGAGTGGGATGGAACAAGAAGGTAAAGCCAGGGCTTGTCTACACTGATGAAAAAAATGTTTGGTACCACATTTTGCCAGTCTACAATAACCTTCAGTGACTCCATCAATGCCACATACAACATACACATTGTGGTGAGATCACCATAACTGACTTACATTTGCCCCTGGTGAGTTCACCTCACTGTGAGGGGGGAGTCCACATTTCCAACTGCATTATTTTCAGCCACACATCTGTGGTTACTCTGCTCCCCCCACCACAAGTAAAGCATGTGAATATATGTATTTCCACCTTTTAATTCACAGCTTGGAAGGGCTTCAGCCATCCTGTTAAACAGGGGTGCACTAGTACTAAGAGACTGATATGCAAGTATCTGCATACACAGACCTTCTTAAATTCAAAACAAATGTTAACCGCATACCAGTAAACTTAAAATTCAAACTGGGGGGGGGGGGCATTTCTAGTTGGAATGATCAGGAGACCAGGTGGCACATGTCACTTCCCATCAACCTGTTCTGTCCAATCACAGTGAGCCATTTTAAAGGGCCGGTTACAACTTAAAAAATATGGACTTTCAAGAAAACTGTGGAGTAAATGGCAAGTTTTTGAACTGGACTAAAGCTTTCAACCATCACAGAGAACATCATTCCAAATGAATAATTAATACAATTGTGTGTTCAGATCACAGTGGTTACAAAGTGAATGCGATTTTCATAAACACCTGTCACCAAATAAAATCTCCTTTTCCTGCATGAATTTTCATGAGGAGTATAATATAGATCCTCTAGCTTTTACTCATATACCCATAAGTTCTAATCTACATGTTGCAATACCTGGGTATATAAGCTTCCAGATACCAGCTTAAAGATCATGGGGAAAAAAGGAAAAAAAGGGGAAAAAATGAAGTAAGGCCGTATCTTCTGAATCTGGGGCTAGTCTCCAGGCAGTTCAGTTCACTCCCATGCTTGTGCATGTTGTTGCCATAATTCCTCTTCAAGCACAGAGCTCTCTGTGACCACCTGGCATCATCTGTCACATCTGCTGATGTACAAATGGGGTGCCCATGCAATCAGCAGGAATGCCATCAGCAGACACAACCATGATAACCAGGCATCACAGGGAGTTCTGTGGCTAGTAGGGGCAGCAGCAGCAACATGGACACAAGCCATTCCCTTTCCCTACACTGATCAGACCAGGAAAGGGGACATGGTAGTGGTATCCATCTGGACAGTAGAAACTAACTCAGTGCAAAGGCATTCGACACAGTGAATCACAGAGCTCTCTGGATCAACCTCCAAAAAATCGGGTGCCCTAACAAATTTGTGAACATCCTGCGGCTCCTCCATGATGGCAACAGTCTTGGACAGCAATGGCTCCCAAAGTGACCTATTTAAGGTGGAATCAGGTGTCAAGCAGGGATGTGTTATTGCCCCAACTTTATTTTCCATCTTCATCGCTATGATACTTCACCTTGTTGATGGGAAACTTCCCACCATAGTAGAAATCATCTATCGGACAGATGGCAAGCTATTTAACCTCAGCAGACTTAAAACCAAAACCAAGGTTACAACAACATTTATTATAGAACTCCAGTATGCTGATGACAATGTCATCCGTGCGTATTCAGAAGAAGACCTACAAGCCACTCTAAACTCCTTGGCAGAAGCATACGAGAAGGTTGGCCTCATCGAGAAAACCAAAGTCCTCTTCCAGCAGTAGCCGGCCAATCCCTCTCCAATGCCAGAAATACAGCTTAATGGTGTAACATTAGAAAATGTTGACCATTTCCGCTACCTTGGCAGCCACCTCTCCAAAAACGTCAACATTGACACTGAAATTCAACACTGCCTGAGCTCTGCTAGTGCAGCATTTTTCTAAATGAAGCAGAGAGTGTTTGAGGGCTGGGACATCCGTAGGGATACCAAGGTTCTTTTATAAACTGGGTTGTTGTAGGTTTTTCCGGGCTATATGGCCATGTTCTGGAGGCAATTTTTCTCCTGACGTTTCGCCTGCATCTATGGCAAGCATCCTCAGAGGTAGTGAGGTTCTGTTGGAAGTAGGAAAAATGGGTTTTATAAAGCTATTGTCCTCCCAACCCTGCTACACGCCTGCGAGACGTGGACAGTCTACAGATGTCACTTGCAACTCCTGGAATGATTCCATCAGCGCTGCCTCCAGAAAATCGTGCAAATCTCTTGGGAAGACAAGTGGACAAATGTCAGCGTGCTGGAAGAAGCAAAGACCACCAGCATTGAAGTGATGGTGACCAGCAGCACTGTAGAATTTGAAGAGGCACGAATGGAGGGCAAAAGAAAGAAACGTGCCAAGAGGAAGGTGCATCCAGTCAACCCCGACCGGGACCGTCTTCCACCTGGAAACCAATGCCTTCACTGTGGGAGAAGATACAGATCAAGAATAGGGCTCCACAGTCACCTACGGACCAACCGCCAGAACACTGAACTTGGAGGACCATCATCCTCAGACTACGATGGATCGCCTAAGTAAGTAAGATGCATGGGGAAAAATATTTTAACATACTTTTCTGGTAAGTTTTCCATAGGTACAACATATTCTTTGTTAGCTCAAGACCTATTGCTAAATCAAGAGAGAATGGCATTAAAAACTGATTTTAAAAAGTAAACTTCAAAAGAAAATACTGACAAATTATAACTGTGAAACCATCAGTTTTATTGAGTTGTAGCATTTCATGAATAAAATACTGTCAATATTTGAAAAGCAGATAAGGTTACTCCAAAGGTTTTCTAATCCAGGCTGGTATACAACTAAGGGTTGGGTGGTGCAAAAACAAATATATTAAGGTAAAAATCATACAACTGCTGGAATCAGCCCTAATGGTGGTTGAGCAATGAGCTCAAGAGTTTCCACCTTTGTTTCCAGAACGGACAATGGCAGTAAGACACCCTGGTGGGACAGGGATGGTTTTGCATCTTCTGCATCCTAGACTATTACATTCTCAAATAAGGAATAAGATTTTCCTCATCAAAGTCCCAAATAAAAGCTAGTTGTAGTGTAGCTAATTCCCTGTTCCTATGGAGGAGAAAGGGACCTGTCAGTCTGGAAAGTCTAATAAATATCCCCCATGCATCTTGCAATCTACTCTGGAAATAGACTCAATATTTTTGTTTCTCTCTGCTGCCTCCTTAGGTGCGTGTGTACTGATGAACATTCATAGGAGTATCACCTATCCCTTTCTGAGAATTAGTGCAAATAGCCTTCCAGGGAAATATCTTCTCAGGTCAGTTTTCCAGGCTACCTTGGGTAGTAGCATAGAAGCCAAATCTCTACCTCATATCCTTGTATCTTTAGTTTAAGTAACCATTGCAACCCTGACTGTTTTTAAGGAACCATTGCAACCCTGACTCCTATCTTATTTTGGAATTGGCATCAGAAATCTGCTTCAGAAGCCTCAAGGAATTTGAACAAGGAGGATGGAAGAGCTATATATCTTTTTTTCTCAGTGATATCAACACGCTTCTCCTGGAAAATATGAGCTGCTGGTTTAGCCCAGTGACTCAGTACTATCCATTCTGAATGGCATAAATCTGAGGCAGTTGAGAATGCACTGGATGTTTCTTAAAGCTGAGCTATTGACTACACTAATAGCCGAAACAAACTTTGTGCTTGTTCAAGTGTCATGCTCATCTAGAGCATTTAACTGTTACCAGCTGTAAGAGGATGATGTAGCTGTAAGAGGTTGATGTAGCAGAGTATCCCATTGCGCTGCGTTTCCTTCACCCTTTGTGATCAGCAAGGAGGCCTTCTTGGTAATATTTTCTTCCAAATGTAGCACAGGAATCTGATCCCTATTTATTTCATTTTTAGGAAATGCATTTCATGGATAATACTCAAAGTTAACATTAGGTGTCAGCATTTTACATATTATTCAGTGAGTGTAGATCTGCCAGTAGAGATACAGCAACGAAAATAAGTGTCTTTAAACTTTTGAAATTTTAGAAGCTATCAGTTTAAAATTATTGGAATAAAGAAATTACTTTTGTATCAAGGAATGAATTCAAAGTATGTAATTATGTCCAAATGAAACATCATAATTATGTAAGTGTATAACATAGATTCTATTTTTAATTTAACTGTGGAATTTTATGAAGGAAAAATATTTCCTCGGCTAAAACAAAACACTGAAGGCATCTAAAGATGCAAAATAAAATATTAACAGAAAATATAGATTGAGTTACCTTAAGAGAATCTAGGAAAACACAGATATGACTCAGTTCTGATAAAACAAGCTAATTGGATATCAAAGCAGATATTGTGGGATTTCCTGCCTTGATATTCTGGGTTATATGGCTGTGTGGAAGGCTGTGTGGAAGGGCCCTTACTTGTCTGTTGTACCTATTTTTCTTATCACTTCTAAAATGACCATAACTGAACTTTAGTTTCAACTCAACTTGTGTAACCTGATGACAGTTTTTAAGAAAACATTTCAACCAGCATCTCTTATAGCTTGCAAAACTTCATTTATTTTGGGTTGTTTTTTTAAAAACAAAAACAAAACCTTTGCACAGATAT